TCACCTCCCATTACTGCTAAGAGGATCTGTGCGTAACAAGATTACCTGCCGTCACTGCTAGAAGGACACTTGCACAAACAAATCACCGGCCACCGCTGCTAAGAGGATATAATCACTCAGCACTCTGGGAAGTATCTGGGAAGGAAGGGGTGGGAAAAGTGCCCATAAGCTAGCTTAACAGAGCCTAACAGAGTACAAATGTTCCACAACAGCAATCTTCATTCCCGAACCTAGAACCGCCAACTAAAATAATAACCCTGACATGCAGTGATGCCAGCTTGCCACCTGGGCCAACCTGGGCTTTAACCACAGGGCTTCGTGCACCCACGAGACCTTCCCACGTGACACAGGGCTTGGCACATAGCAGGTGTTAGGGAGAACAATGGGGAGGGGCTAAGTGGGAGCAGCCTCTACTCTCTGCAATGGCTAACATGTACAAGGATAAAGGGCCATGGCGCATGCAACTTACTCTCAAATGGTTCACAAAAAAGCAACGTGTGTGAATGCACGATATGCACATACACACAGAAGCCGGGGGATAAAGCAAATAAGGTAAAACGCCAACAGTAGGGAAGCCTCAGCAAAGAACATGCAGGTGTTCTCTGCACTCATTTTATTCTTGCAAATTTTCTGAGTTTGAAATTATTTCCAAGTAAAAGGTTTCTTTTTGTCAAGAAAAGAAAGGAAAATTCATTAGCTAGTAAAGCTAGAAAGTATATTACACCACTTTCCAACTAAAAAAAAATGAACCTGTTAACCCAAAAGCCAAATCTACCAGTGGACAAACTCTACAAAGTGTCACAGTACCAGGCTATAGAGGAAAGCACTCCAAACTCAGGAGGTTTTGGCAAGGCCAGGTGCAAGCTCACCTCTCCAGCTACTTCTGAGCCTCGGTCACTTTTCCTTGTGATGAAAATATGCACTCTCTCCCCATTCACCAAACCCCTGTGCTACTTCACACGATAGAAAACTCTGGACTCCAGCCCGGGTGAGGTGGTTCACACCTGCAATCCCGTAACTTTGGGAGGCCAAAGCAGGTGGATCACTTGAGCCCAGGAATTTGAGGAAAGCCTACATGGCCAACATGGTGAACCCCCGTTTCTACTAAAAATACAAAGTTAGCCCGGCATGGTGGTGTACGCCATAATGTTACTCTGGAGGCTGACACAGGAGAATTACTGGAACCCAGGAGGCGGAGGTTACAGTGAGCTGAGATCCCGCAACTGCACTCTAGCCTGGGTGACAGACAGAAACTCCGTCTCAAAAAAAACAACTCTGGACTCCAGAGCCAAGATGCTGTGTTCACTTCACAGCTCCCTGAGATTTTATCAGCTCAGCACAGCTGCCTACTGAAAGCAAAAGGGCAAGAACCCTAAGCTAGCAGCCAGCTCCACCTGGGTCTGAACCCTCGCTCTGCTGCTCACCAGCTGTGTGACCTTAGACAAGTCATTTGCCTCTCCCAGCTAGCTGTACCAGCAATAGAAGGAAGACGATCTTCTCGTCCTGTACCTCACCAAGGGGCCTGGCTGAGCACAAGCCCTGTACAGGACCAGCAACCAGCAGGAAGGGACCAGGGTGCACCAGTACTCAGAAGGCAATTTTTTCTCAGCTATGTATGGTAGGTTCAACCTGGATAGAGCTGTGGCTCGTGATACAATTTTGTTTCACAATTCAAGCTAGAAAGAAAAACTGTTTTAGAATCAGCAATCAATGCTGCCTTCTCTACACAGATGGAGAAAGGGCCAATGAGACATTATCACAGTGTTCCCCAAATCCCCCACCGTCTCGCTGTCAATTACCTTAGCAGTAGTCTCCAACCCTTCTTCCTCATCACACCCCCAGTGATCATAACACACATCATCAGTGGTCACATGGCCAAACACAGAAGGGATTTGGGGGAGTGGGTGGTTCTGTCCCTCAGACTGGAGTATCCACATGGAAAAAGATTCTGCACCCTCACCTAGAGGACCCCAGGACCTATCAGGGGACAGATAGGTCCCCTGTGGCTCCACCTGGGGTTAAGGAAGCTGTTCAGAGCATAATGTGAGGTACTCCTGTGGCTGGGCTGGAGACACACAGTTGGAGTGCACAAGCCCCAGTCGGGGTGCACAATGGGGGGAAGGCCAGACTCCTACGATGAAATCTCATCTCAGCCACTTAGCTTCACAAGCGCTCTGGATTTCAGCTTCCCCATCTTTAAATGAGACTAAAAATAGCATCCAGCAGGGACCTCTTGAGAGTTAATACATATTAGTGCTTAGAACAGTGTCCAGCACATGACACATCTTAAATCAAGTTCAAATATGCATTTAAAAGAAAATTGCTGGGCATGGTACCTCAGACCTGTAATTCCAACACTTTGGGAGGCCAAGGTGGGGGGATCACCAGAGGTCAGAAGTTCCAGACCAGCCTGGCCAACATGGCAAAACCCCATCTCTACTAAAAATACAAAAATGAGCTGGGCGTGGAGGCGTGTGCCTGTAATCCCAGCTAATCGGGAGGCTGACACAGGAGAATCGCTTGAACCAAGGAGGTGGAGGTTGCAGTGGGCCAAGATCACGCTACTGCACTCCAGCCTGGGCAGCAGAGCAGGACTCTGTCTCAAAAAAAAAAAAAAAAAAAAAAAATTGGTGAAAGGTCAAGTACAGCAAGCACTTGCTGCCCCATAACTCCATGAAAGGCCTTCCACCCTGCCCTGTACCAGAGAGGAGACCCAAGTGGCTTGGCCTCATCTTCAGGGAACCCACCAGACAGGAGTCAGAAAACACACTCCTGAGAAGTGGGCTTTGACTGGTACCTTCCTCATACCCAAGTATGCTTTTAAGGCTGGGATCCCCACAGAAAGAACGCCGACTAAGACCAGAGAAGCCCCAGCCTCTTGAAAGCACCAGCTAGGCAGATCCTTGCAGCACTCTCAGGAAGGACATAGGGTGAATGTGTGAAGAGGCACACGTGGGCATACAAGGAACACATCAGGCCCAGAGACCCGCCCTCACTGCCCAGCCAAAGCCAGGGAGCCAACTGCAGCTCCCAGGTTCTACACGGCAACTCAAGACGCCTCCAGGGGTAGCTGCAATGTTCTCATCTGGAGAGTCATGGAATCGAAAAGAATGTTTGTTCCCTCTACCAGAGCTACCCCACCCATGCCTTACTGAGACCTCAGTCTCAGTGTGAGGTCTCCTATGACGCCCCCCTGCTTTACCTCCCGGGTTCACGCCATTCTCCTGCCTCAGCCTCCCCAGCAGCTGGGACTATAGGTGCCTGCCACCACGCCCGGTTAATTTTTTGTATTTTTAGTAGAGACGGGGTTTCACCGTGTTAGCCAGGATGGTCTCGATCCCCTGACCTCGTGATCCACCCGCCTCGGCCTCCCAAAGTGCTGGGATTACAGGCGTGAGCCACCGCGCCCGACCCTGGCTTCTGTTCTTACCAAGGCCACCCCACTACCAGTCATCCCGCTGCCCAGAGAGCAGCCAAAAGCAGTGAGCAACTAGCACTGCATGGGGAGACCAGAGAAGCATCACTGAATCTGTCCAGGTTGAGCATGGGTCAGGGCCTTGGCCACCAGGTAGGCACCAGGGAGGAGGCAGACATTCCATACAGATGACACAAGCGCAGAGCCAAGAGGTGCGGTGTATCTGGGCTGGGAGCCTGGCTAGGACAGAGGAGAGGGCCACACACCCCGTGCTCCCACACCCAGGTCATCAGAGAAGACGGCCCTGGCACTTCTGCCTTCATGGGACCTTTCCTCCACTAAGAAATATTAAGAGTCATGCTTTTTCACTGTATTGGCATAAAGAAAACTGTATTAATATACATAAGAAAACATTTTCTTTGACCAGAAGTTGTTTTTTTCTGCTGACTTAAAAAATGAAATAAAATAACATTCGCAGGCCACTAAAAGTACCGTGAGCCAGTGATATCAGAATTCCTGTGCCTGATGGATACATCGGTCCTGTATTTAGGGGGTTTGATTTTCTGGGGCAGTTCAAGGGAAGGAGAGGTACACTGAAATAGGTAGAAAAGGGTCTCCTAGGAGGTTGCCCCGGTTCTGATTCCCCACCACAGACTTAAGAACACACTAGCTCCTAGGGGAGTTCCAAAGCCTGGACTCATTCATCACATACACGCAGCACGCCTAAGGGCCCCGCACAGTGGCGAGGTCTCCGCTCGCGGGACGCTGGCGCCGGCCACACAACGCTAGGCTGACTCCTGGTGCCTCCTCTGGACGGGGTGTGAGCTGAGGACTTCTTCAGTGCAACGCCTCACTGAATGACAGTCTGCCACAGCCACCAATGTCCAGGCGAGCAGTTTCCAGGACTGAGAGGCTGCCACTAGGCCACTGCTGGGAGGACTTCTGCGAAACCAGGTGCCCCCGAGAGCCGCTGTCCCCAGCCCGACTCCGACGCTGGGCTGGCGGGAGGGCGCGCCCGTGGCGTAGCTCCTGGCCGCCGCCGCTCCCAGGAAGGGCCCAGAGGCAACATCCCGGACAGCACAGCTGCACGAAGTCCAAGGCGCCGCGAGCCCAGGTAAGCTCCAGCAGGCGTCCGCAGAGAGTGCCAGGCAGCCCGCGAGCCAGGCCCCGCCCGCCCCTGCCCCAGGCGCGGCCCCTGCAGAAGGGCGCCGCGGGTGAAAGGAGGTCCTGGGGCGACCCCGGCCCCACTCGCCGCCCCGCCCCCACACCGCCCCTATCGCGCGGCGCACCTGGCCGCAGCGGCTCGGTGACAGTGAGCACGAGCAGGAAGAGCAGTAGGAAGACGCCGCTGTCTGCCTTGGGCACCATTTATCCTCCGTTCATCGTCCCCGGGGCGGCTGCGTGACCCCGCTGGGAGGCCGGACCGGGCCGGACTGAGGGTCAGGGGACCGTGCCAAGAGGAGGGTCAGGCGGGGCTGGACCTGGACGAGGCGCGGAGAGGCGGCGGGAAAGAGCTTCAGCTGGGCCGCGGGCTGGCGCGCACTCTCGGCGGCAGCCTCAGGCTCCGACTCCAGCTCCGCGCAAGATGGCTGCCGTCCTGCTCGGCTCCGCGCTGCGCCGCCCCGCCTCCCGCCCGCGACGCCGGCGCGGGCCAATGAACGCCAAGGCAGGGGGCGGGGCCAGAGCCACAGACCTTCCCCCCGAAGGGGGTGAGGCCTAAGGTCACGACGGCGGTGGGCGGGGACCTAAGGGCGGTGACTGAGGGGCGGGCTCTAAGGGAAGGGCGGGACCATACGGAGTGAGGCGTGCCATTGGTTAAGCAGAGAGGCAGGGCCGGGGCCGGGGCCTGAGCGACGCGGCCTGGGAAGGGAGTAGGGTCTCTGGACGCGGGGTAGGGGCGGCGGGCGCGGGACCACAAGGACAGACATCGAAAGGCGCGGGGCATGGGGCGGGGCGCCGTGGGGTCGCGCGGGTGGGGAGCGGAGAGGACGAAGCGGGAACCTGGCTGAGACTCCAAGGGTCTTAACACCTGCAAGCTCAGGTCCCGTGAGCAGCCCAAAAGTGCGCCCCAAAGGGGTCTTTTTAAGGCCGAACCGCTGTGGAGGAGGGAGGGCCTGCCGGTTCTAAGGGTGGGGAAAGAGGGTCACCCTGTAAGGAATAGGAATGGCCTAAGGGAGTGTCAGGCAAAGAGATACCGGGAAGGCCAGGTCCTGGAGACTGCAGCGAAGCCGGCTCCCTGGAGGACCTCCCTGCACAATGGCGAGGGGAAGGCCACATGTGCAGGAAGGAAAGCTAGGCAGAGAGGAGGCCCAGCGCCCCTGCGAACAGTGCTCCAAGTGCCACCTCTCACCTGTCATCACCAACAGGGTGAACCTTGGAGGGCAGTGTTGTCAAAAAGAGTCCAGCTCTGTAAAATATTTGAAGACATTTCTTCTGAGCCAATATGTGACCAATAGCCTGGGACACAGCCCCAGGAGATCCTGCAAGTGTCCACGGGGGTAGGGCTACAGCTTGGTTTTATACATTTTAGAGAGACAAGACATCAGTCATGTAAGGTATACAGTGGTTCAGTCGGAAAAGGCGGGACAACTTGAAAGTGGGGGTGGAGGGGGGCTTCCAGGTCATGCGGATTGGCAGCTGGTTCAAAGAGTTTATCTAAAGACGTGGAATCAATAAAAGGGACTGTCTGGATTAAGGGATTGTGGAGACCAAGCTTCTTAGATAGATGAAGCCTCCAGGTATCAGGCTTCACAGAGAAGAAACTGTTAATGTTTCTTATTAAAAAGTGCCAGACTCGGCCGGGCGCGGTGGCTCACACCTGTAATCCCAGCACTTTGGGAGGCCGACGTGGGCGGATCACGAGGTCAGGAGATCGAGACCATCCTGGCTAACACGGTGAAACCCCGTCTCTACTAAAAATGCAAAAAGTTAGCCGGGCGTGGTGGCGGGCACCTGTAGTCCCAGCTACTTGGGAGGCTGAGGCAGGAGAATGGTGTGAACCCGGGAAACAGAGCTTTCAGTGAGCTGAGATTGTGCCACTGCACTCCAGCCTGGGTGACAGAGCAAGGCTCCGTCTCAAAAAAAAAAAAAAAAAAAAAAGTGCCAGACTCCAGGGCACAGTGACTCATGCCTGTAATCCCAGCACTTTGAGAGGCCAAGGTGGGCAGATCACCTGAAGTCAGGAGTTCAAGATCAGCCTGGCCAACATGGTGAAACTACGTCTCTACCAAAACTACAAAAATTACCTAGGTGTGGTGGCGCACGCCTGTAATCCCAGCTACTCAGGAGGCTGATGGCAGGAGAATCACTTGAACCAGGGAGGCAGAGGTTGCGGTGAGCCAAGATCACGCCACTGCACTCCAGCCTGGGCAACAGAGCAAGACTCTGTCTCAAAAAAAAAAAAATTAAAAAAGGAAAAATAAATAAAAGGTGCCAGACTCTAGTTAATTCTCTCAGGAGAAAAGACCTTGAAAGGGATGGGGATTCTCTACAGAATGTAGATTTTCCCCACAAGAAACAGCTTTGCAGAGTGACTTCAAAATATGTGAAAGAAATCTGTTTTACAGTAAAATACTTGTTTCTTTCCGGGCCTGCTGTCATGCTGGTATCTTACTGCCATAGAGTCTGTTGTCAGTCTTCAAGTCTCTGTGTCGATGTTACCACTGCTTAGCTGTGCCTGAAACCTGAAGGGAGGAGGGATAATGAGGCCTGACTCCCACTTCCTATCACGGCCTGAACTAGTTTTTCAGGTTAAGTTTGGAATGCCCTTGGTGGAGAGGAGGGGTCCATTCAGATGGCTGGGGAGCTTAGAATTTTATTTTTGGTTTCCAGGAGACAGTAGTTGGGGTGTCCCCAGCAGGAAGGAGAAGGAGGCTGTCCGGAAGAAGGAGCGCCCAGAACGCACAAAGGCCTGGCAGTGGGCAGTCAGGGTTAGGGAAGAAGGTGAAGGAGCAGAGAAAAGGGGGAAGGGCCATGGCAGGTAGGGACCCAACCCAACCTGAGTGACATCCAGCCTGCACTACCAAGTCATCCCTGAGGGATCCAGGGTTCCACTTGGCTCTGTGAGGAAGGGGAGTTCACTCCCTCTAGGTGGATGAGGCCAAAGTCAAATCCAAGGCTAGGATAGTCGTGTGACCCCTACTCCCCTAGGGCGTAGCCTGGAACAGGTGCTGGACGCAGAGCCTGGCACAGCAGCAGGGCTCCACTGCCAGAAGAAACAATAGCCACTGTCCAGTGCTGCCCCTGCTGCTTATACTGTCCTCAGAGCAGCCACCAGTGCTCAGGGTGGCATCCAGGCCCCGCCTTTGGCCCCCAGCCCCAGGTCTGCCCTGGGAGCCCAGCCAGGGTTGAGAAAAAAAACTAGTTCATCGAGTGCCAGGGAGCCCTGCCCGAGGACATGGCGTGCAAGATGTTCCACCAACTCTCCTCGGCCATTAAGTACTGCCATGACCTGGACATCGTGCACCAGAACCTCAAGTGTTAGAACCTTCTCCTCCACAAGGATTTCAACATCAAGCTGTTCTACTTCAGGTTCTCCAAGCTCTGCCTGCGGGATGACAATGGCCAACAGAGATTAAGCAAGACCTTCTGTGGGTCGGTGGCATATGCAGCCTCTGAGGTGCAGCAGGCATCCCCTACCAGCCCAAGGTGTATGACATCTGGAGCCTGGGCGTGATCCTCTACATCATGGTCTGCAGCTCCATGCCCTAGGACGACTCCAACATCAGGAAGATGCTGTGTACCCAGAAGGAGCACCACGTGGACTTCCCACACTCCAAGAACCTGACAGATGAGTGCAAGGACCTCATCTAGTGCATGCTGCAGCCCAACATCAGCCAGCAGCTCCACATCCATGACATTCTCAGCCAATGCTGGGTGCAGCCCAAGGCACAGGGACTGCCCTCTATGGTCATCAACAAGGAGGGGGAAAGCTCCCGGGGAACTGAACTCTTGTGGACCCCTGAACCTGGCTCTGCCAAGAGGTCTGCCACCAAGCTGGAGTCTGGGGAAGAGGCACAGCCCAAGAGACAACCTGAGACAAAACCTGAGGGGTTGGCAATGCAAATGTCCAGGCAGTCGGACGTCCTAGGCTTCCCCAGCAAGCCATCAACCAGGGAGAAAGAGGAAGGGCCCCCCCAAAGGCCTCCAGAGATTCGCATCTAGTGAGCATTTGTGGCCCAGTATGCCAGCAGTGAATGAGATGGAGCTCACACCTTCAGGCCCAAGCTCTGAAGAAGTCAAGGCACAAACCAGAGAAGGAAGACAGTCCCGGATGAGCCGCGGTTTTCATCAGTTTCTTCTCTCTCCCCTTGAACTTCATAACCACATTGCTAAAGGAGCAATAAATCACTATATTAATGCAGATGCCAAAGTGAATGTCTTTGCCTCAACTGACTAGTCCTGGGCTCCCCTCCACGGGTTTCCCACTCAGATTGTGCTATGATTCCTTCTTCACTTGGGAAAACACATCCCAGCGTGCCCAGCCCAGACCATGACCTCAAGCCCGTGCTGAGGCTGGGGCTGGGAGAGACCTGGAGGGGCAGGGGCCAGAGCTGAGAGGTGAATGAGGAAGCTGCTGCCTCAGAAGGGATGCCCCTGAGTGCGGTGCTGGGGTCAGGAAAGGACAGGGAGAGGACAGGACCAAGAAGTGTGCCGAGGCACCCCTGCAGAGGAGCGCAGGCTCTGTGTACAGTTGGGACTGAGGGTCTGGGCAGACTTGCCCTCTGCAGCCCCACAAGGCTGCCAGTGGGGGTTGCAGGAGGCTGCAGAGGACAGGTGGCCAGCCTCTCAGCCACTCCTGAGCTCCCTACCCTGCTGGGCAACTTGTTCATTGTGCTCTGTCCACCACAGGCCCCCTGTGTCCAGCCAGCACCCAGCTTTCAACAGTGCCGGGGTCACCCCACCCTGTGGTCACTCTCCAGCCCAGGAGAAGTAGGAGGCTCTGCTGGATGGCCCAGCCACACTGTACCCTGAGCATGTCCCACAGTCTTGTGTGGTCTTGACGACATCTTGTCCCCGTCCCAGCCTGTCCCCAGGGATGACACCCCTGCCAGAACTAGAAGTTGACACTGGCAAGTAGGATAGGCCAGGCAACCACAATGCATGCCTGGCCTGAGGACAGGGAATGCTGACCATCAGAGCCCCACAGGGATCATGAGCCTAAAGTTGGCACCACTGACTACAGTGTGCTGCATTGCCTGTGCATATCTTAGGCAGGGCTACCTCCCCATGGCCCCTTTCTTCTTGCCCCACTGTGGACAACCTTATGTGGGCCTAAGGCTTGACACACACACAAAGGACAAGCGCTTTCAGAATCACCTCTCCCATGGCCTCTAAGTGGATGGGGCCAAAGTCAAACCCAAGGCTAGGACAGTCGTGCGACTCCCACTCCCCCGGGGCGGGGCCTGAAGCAGGTGCTGGCCACAGAGAATGTCAGAGCAGAGGAGCTCCACTGCCAGCAGCATCCATGATCACTGTCCACAGTCTACCTATGGTCACTTCTCTACCTCAGGAAGACCCCAACCTCAGTCCCCTTGGAGAAGTAGGGTCCAGTGAGAGCCTGGACCGGCCCTCCTTGCACTCCTCAAGTCCACCTGCCTCCTCATGCTCCCAAAGCCCCCTTCCACGTGGTTTAATTTCAGGCCTCCACCCCAACCCTCCCACCACCTCCAACAGTGTCCAGAGCCATCCCCCACCCAGCCTGGCTCCCACTGCCCAGCGGGGAGAAACCTACCCTGGCCTCTAGGGTCCTCCTGTGGCCCAATGCATCCTCCCCTGGCCTCTGGGCACCAGGCCTCACCACTGTGCCCCCATCACACACATGGCCCATAATCATACAGGGAACTTGCCCCTGCAGACTCTGTCCAGCTCTCCAGGCTCAGCTGAGGGGCTGAGGCCTCCATAAAGCCTTCTAGGGGTTCTCAGCAGCCTGCCACTCTGTACTCTGCCAACAGGCCTCGAGGGGCCACCCTGTTCTTCCCACCAAGAAACTCACGGTGGAGAGGAAGCCCAGAGTGCCGGGATGGGGGCCCGGGTGGGACATCCTGAGGAATGGCTCTTGGGCCCTCCTCCCCAATTATCCCCACAGACCTGCGCTGGTCCTCAGGGGAGTGGCCAGCAAGCAGGTCTGGGAGCTTCACTGTAGCTCAGCCAGGTAAGCCCGGGTGGGAGGGGCTGCGGGAGGAGTTCCTGCTCTGCGCTTTACAGCTGGAAACGGTTCAGAGAGAGTGTCTGAGATCACACTGCCCAGGGCAGGAGGCCCAGGTGACCCCTCCACAGGTGGCCTCGCCATGCCGGGCGACTCCCATAGGTGGCTCAGCCCTGGCTCAGACCCCTTCAAGGACCCTCAGAGGTGCTAGGACCAGGACCTCAACAAGGCCCTCCATGGCCTGTCCATGTTCCTGCCAAGCCACATCCCTTCAAACCGTCACATGTAATAGCCATCCTCATCCCCCTCCACCTGGCTCGTTCCTCAGACCTCAGCCTTCCCCAGCTTCCCAAAGTCCAATCCCCAGTTCCCTGTCCTCACAGCACCATGGTTCTGAGGCGTGGCACAGCCACCATCGTGCACATACACTTGGCGTGATTGAGCCTCCCTCGCTTCTGGACTCCAGGAAGGCATGGGTGGTCCAGCTCATCAGTGTACCTCAGCACCCAGGGCAGACCCTCAGTGCTTGGGGGACAAATGGGTAAACAGGTGTCTACTTTATAAAGGAAAGGAAGGTTCAGAGGGAAGTGGATTTCTCAGAGTGTGCAGGTACCTGGCTGACAGGACTGTAACCCTAGGAGCAACGCTGGAGGTCCCCAGATCCAATCCAACCCTCTCCGTCAAACACACCAGGAGTCCCGGCCCTGTGTGTGCTTCCTGGATGGAGCAGCCCACTCCATGCCTGGGCAGCTCTGCCTCTGCAATGTTGACACCTGCCTCTTCTGGCATGTCCCCCAAGGACCAGAGAGGCACTCGGGGGGTGAAGTAGAATGCACAAAAAGAGGGAGAAGGCATTGGTAGAGTCTAGGAAGAAGGCAGATATCCGGCCAGGCCACGGTAGCTCATGCCTGTAATCCCAGCACTTTGGGAGGCGGAGACAGGCAGATCCCTTGAGGCCAGGAGTTCGAGACCAACCTGGGCAATAGAGTGAAACCCCATCTCTACTAAAAAATACAAAAATTAGCTGGACATCATGGTGCGTGCTCGTAATTCCAGCTGCTGGAGAGGCTGGGGCATGAGAATTGCTTGAACCCTGGAGGTGGAGGTTGCAGTGAGCTGAGATCGTGCCAGAGCAAGACTCCATTGAAAAGAAAGGGAAGGGAAAGAAAGGAAAGGAAAGAGAAGGTGGGAAGGAAGTGGAAGGACAGGCGGGAAGGAAGGGGATGGAAGTAAGGAAGGAAGGAAAGGGTAAGGAAGAAGGAAGGGAAGGGAAAGGGCAGGGCAAGCAGATATGCAGAGAAATGCCCCAGATAGGTCATTTAGGGGAGCAAGGGAAAGGGTCAAGGGGTGGTAAGTGGGAATTCTCAAGCTCCTGGGTCCTGGCCTGCAAATTTTCATAGCCAGCCCCTTCTAGGACAAAAAAAGGAGTGAAGTGCTGGTCATTTCAGCCATAGAGACTCCCAGGAGAAAGGAAAGCATCAAACTAAAGCTATTAACCACCGATGCTACAAAGAGCTTCGGGTGGGACTCTGGGAGGCTGTCACTGCTGGAAGGCAGTCACTGTGGGCACATCGGCCCATCCTGCTCATCTGAGCCTCTCAGCTTGGCATCCTGACTTTGGCTGCCCTGTTTCTCCAATCTTCCCTGGTAACCTCCAGACACAGGGTGCTCCCTGTGTACTCCAGACAGAGTAGGTTTACACAGCCATGCCAGGGCCAAGATGTCACATCTGCCTGACATGTCCTGCCCCTCTTGTCAACCCCATGGAGTCTGTTGATCCCCAGCACCCCAGCTCCAACATCACTTCCTCTTTGAAACCTTCCAGGACTAAACCCCACCTGGGAGCAGGCCTTCCTCCCTCTCCCCTGAACGCTGAGCACACAGCTCGTCTGTCCCGGCTACTCCCTGTGGACCCAGGATGCCTGTGATGGATGACAAATGAACATCCGTCCAAAGCACCTGAGGAGACATGTACAGGATGCCACATTTCCCAAAGCACAGATCCACACACCAGCCCTGACACAGGATGTTCACACTGTTTCCAGGTGCAAAAGGCAGCCCAAGATGCAAATGATACTCAGTGTCAGGGTTCCAACAGGCGACTGCTGCTCACTCCATACAAAGGCCCAAACTGACATGACTCAGAACTCCCTCCTCACCCAGGTGCCTGCTCTTCCCAGTGCATGGCCTGGGTGCTCTCAGCCCCAGGATTCCCCAGCACCAGGGCCCATCCACTGACAGACTAGCAAACAAGACAGACCTGACCTTCTGTCTCCTGCTGATCCCGAGGCCCACCCTGGCCCAGCCTCCTCTCACTTGGTCGAAGGCACTGGCCCCCACCTTCATCGCAAAGCCAGTTCTACTCTGTCTCTCTCTCTGCCACTGACCATCTTAAAACACAACTGGGACAGCCCTTCTCCTGTCCTGCACCTGCAGCGGCGGCCTGCCACTTACAGAAAAAGCCCCGACTCCTTCACTTCCCTCCTCCTTCCCAGCCACTCTCAGAAAAAGCCCTCTCTTCTCCCAAGCTCTCTGCTGCCCAGGTGCCTTCCTGCCGCCTCTACCCAAGGGAGGCCCTGCCCCACCCCTCAGACATGCAGGCACCTGCCCTGGACCCTGGGCACCCAGTTGGCATGTACTGCAGCCCTGACCCACCCATACACAGGCCCTTGCTCGCTGGAGCAGCAGTGACTCACCTGCCCGGCTCTCTACCCTGAGGGGCCTGCTGCCTCCGCTCCCAAACACAGGGCTGCTTTCGTCTACCAGGCTTGGCACCACTGCCAGCCGGACTGGTCCAGGGCAGTCCCTCCCAGGTACCACTGTTCCCAGAACCAAGCCAGGTCCAGCTGCATTTTCTTGAGGCCCAATAACAAGAAGCAGACAAACTAGGAAAGAAGGGAATTTATTACTGTAACTGGATACAGGGAGAAGGCTGGAGATAATTCCACCAGACCACCTCAAAGTGTTACGATTTTCCTAGTGTTTAAAGAGGTTGGGGTTATATGCCTACGTGCTAGCAATCACCTAAGTCTACTGGTAACCGATTTTGTTTCAAGTAGGTCAGAGGCAAAAAAAAAAAAAAAAAAAAAAAAAATGCTTGCTAAGTCTGATTAAAAGGGGCCCAGTGCCTTCAAGGCCTGTCTACTGTGGTACGGGTGTGATTATTTCGATTTTATCTCCTTTACAGCTTGGTCCAGAGAGCTGCCTTAGACTATTCAATGAATCTATTCAAACAGCTGCCTGTTACCTTGACTTGTCTTCAGATTTTGTCGACCCGAGATGGGTCCTGGCACTAGGAATGTAAAACCGTTCCTATTATTTTGTCTGGCTCCAGCAAGAGAGAAGCCCATGCAAGGCTCCTACTGACTGTATGTTTCATTTCTAGCTTCGATGTCTGGGCACTAATTTCCCTAGATTTAACTATGTGCTCAGTGTTAAGGCAGTGCTGTGGAAATCTGTCTGTGTAACCGGGGTGCTATGCAGGCCTGTCTGGGTGACTGTCAGGGAGAACTGTCCTGGCACACCAAGGACACAGCCCAAGGGGGGCTTTTTTCATAGTCCAAAGAAGCTGCAGGAAACCCACCCTAGTGAGACAAAGATCACTGCACGGTCGGTCCCCACAGGTGATGGAAACAGGCTGGACGTGGGCCGCCTCCCCTCCGGCCTGACTTGTGTGACAGACAGGGAAACCAATGCAAGCAACAGCAGCAGGGTTACCACAGTCCTGTCTGGGGACAGGCTTCCTTCCAGCGGGTGGGGAGCGGGCGCTCCTGCCAGACCAGCCTGGCTTCCATGGTTCCAGGAACCCTGTTCCCCCTCAGCCCAGTCCCCGCCCCCACTCCTTGGCTTTATGAGTTCATTCGCTGAAGTCACCCAGAGACAATGCTGAGTGTTCCACCCCTGAGTTGAAGCCCAGCCCAGCCCAGCCAGACACCTCCCGGTAGTGTAAATGAGGACAATGCCCGCTGGCCCACGTGACGGGGGGATGTAGACGGCAGCGGCGCCAGTCGCTCCTGGCACCATGGACGATGCCACAGTCCTAAGGAAGAAGGGTTACATCGTAGGCATCAATCTTGGCAAGGGTTCCTACGCAAAAGTCAAATCTGCCTACTCTGAGCGCCTCAAGTTCAATGTGGCTGTCAAGATCATCGACCGCAAGAAAACACCCACTGACTTTGTGGAGAGATTCCTTCCTCGGGAGATGGACATCCTGGCAACTGTCAACCACGGCTCCATCATCAAGACCTACGAGATCTTTGAGACCTCTGACGGGCGCATCTACATCATCATGGAGCTTGGCGTCCAGGGCGACCTCCTCGAGTTCATCAAGTGCCGGGGAGCCCTGCACGAGGACGTGGCGCGCAAGATGTTCCGACAGCTCTCCTTGGCCGTCAAGTACTGCCACGACCTGGACGTTGTCCACCGGGACCTCAAGTGCGAGAACCTTCTCCTCGACAAGGACTTCAACATCAAGCTGTCTGACTTCGGCTTCTCCAAGCGCTGCCTGCGGGACAGCAATGGGCGCATCATCCTCAGCAAGACCTTCTGCGGGTCAGCGGCATATGCAGCCCCCGAGGTGCTGCAGGGCATCCCCTACCAGCCCAAGGTGTACGACATCTGGAGCCTGGGTGTGATCCTCTACATCATGGTCTGCGGCTCCATGCCCTACGACGACTCCGACATCAGGAAGATGCTGCGTATCCAGAAGGAGCACCGTGTGGACTTCCCGCGCTCCAAGAACCTGACCTGTGAGTGCAAGGACCTCATCTACCGCATGCTGCAGCCTGACGTCAGCCAGCGGCTCCACATCGATGAGATCCTCAGCCACTCGTGGCTGCAGCCCCCCAAGCCCAAAGCCATGTCTTCTGCCTCCTTCAAGAGGGAGGGGGAGGGCAAGTACCGCGCCGAGTGCAAACTGGACACCAAGCCAGGCTTGAGGCCCGACCACCGGCCCGACCATCAGCCCGACCACAAGCTTGGAGCCAAAACCCAGCACCGGCTGCTGGTGGTGCCCGAGAACGAGGACAGGGTGGAGGACAGGCTGGCTGAGACCTCCAGGGCCAAAGACCATCACGTCTCCGGAGCGGAGGTGGGGAAAGCAAGCACCTAGCATGACGATGGCCCCGTCGTGTGGGGTGGGGGTCGTGGTGGGGGGGCATGGCGCAGTCGGCCTTCACATTAACTAAGTAGGCAGGTAGGATCTGAAGAAGGCACAGGTGCAAGTAAAATTCGTCAATTAAACCACTATTTTGATTACGTTCCATTAGCTTTCTTCCACTTAGTAGCAAAGACGTTCTTTACTGACCACCAAATAAACCACAGGGTGTGTACAAGCATCAAGAGTGCCCAGTGAGGAGTGTTTTTCTCTGGGACTCAGCCAACCGCCCCACCTGACACACAGTGGTCTCTGGCCTAGGAGCATAGGACAGGTGCTCAGGTACAGGCAGACTCGTGGTGTGGCCTGGCCTTGTGGGGGACGAGAGGGCCTCTGCCAGGGTCCACCTGCCAGGCCCACACTGTCTCCCTCTGACCTGGCCTCCTCCCCAATGCCCTGGGGCTGGCCAGCTCCAGGGGTCCACGACTCCCCCTGGCCTCCTGCAGTTCAGCCCACTCTAACCTACCCCCACTCCCTCAGAGCCCCTCGCTCAGCATCCTCCTCTTCCTCTATTTCCCGGAGTCATTTGAGATTTCTGTCCTCAGCCCTCAAGTTCCCTGCCCTGTCCTCCAGGGGCAGCCCCAGCTGAGACCTCCCGGTGTGCCCTCCCCACCCAGTGGCTCTGCAAGCTGCTCAGCAGCCCTTGGTGATGGTGCACTGGCCTGTCTTTTGTGCTTCCTGCTGTGTCACCCATTGCTCCCAAAGCATGCGGCCCACTTGCTGGCCAAGTGCTCCAGGTGGTCAGCACCTAGACAGTGCTCCTCCCCCTCCCTCCCCACTTCCTGGGGACTCCCTTAGGACAACATGCACCCTTTCCTATGGGATAAAGCACCAAAGGCCCCACATCCCCCACCCATTAAGAGTCCCACCCTACCTGTCCAGCAACCCTACATCCACCTGCAGGTCCCAGGGCACATCTGGAGCTCAGCCACCCCAGGAACTTGCAGGAACTCACTATCGAGGAACACAGGTTAGCAGTGGCCCCAGGTAGGTGGCAGAGATCAGGCTCTGCACCAGCCTCCAGAGAACTTCAGCACTTAGGAAAGGCGTGAGAGGACCAGAGAAGATCGCCTAGCACAGGCTGGGTACACTCAAAGCAAGAAGGATCCCAGTGTGAGCAGAGGCCAGGTGTGTCCCTGAGCAGTGAGACCCCCACCCTGAATGCACAATCTGTGACCTCCACTTGAGGTCTGGGGGCCAGACCTTGGTCTTGGGCCCAGCTGGGCCCCTCTACCTCTGCAGAAAGCAGGCACAGGACTGTCAGGCCACCAGACTCCTAAGGGTCAGACACCCATATCCTTGGCCAATGGGCAAGTGTGCCGGCAGTGCACAGAGGACCTGCCAGGTCTGCATGGAGCCTGGGGCCCACATTACTGTTATCTGGGAGCTCCTGTTGGTGGGAGAGACAAGGTGAGGCCGGGGCCAGCAACATAAGATGGGCAGTGCCTACGGCAGAGAGGTGAGCTGGAGAGTCCCACCCCATGAGCTGGAAGCCAGGGCTGGGAGAAGGTGACGGCTGAGATCACCTGATATGCAGCCCCTACACAGTCCTATAACCAGTGCACCTCACAGCAGGCAAGCCCAGAGTGGAGGCTGCAGACCTGGGCCCAGAACTGCAGGTGAACCTGAGAGTACAACTTCCAAGGGCTCCATTTCTCCTTCACATCCCCCCAGAGGAGCAGAAAGCACAGGAGGATGTGAGCTCAGCTCAGAACACAGGTTCCGGGTGCTGCAGAAAGCGATGCCAGAGTCATCCGGTGCCCCCACAGCCACGCCACCTGCAGCTTCCTCACCTGGGGGGCCCCTCGCTTCAAGCCCTGCAGTCCTGAGACACGACGCAGGCCCCAGGGCAAGGCTAGGGCTTGTGTGGGGAGCAGGACGGAGAGGCAACCCCCAGACTGTACCAGGTGTTCTTTAATGACACTTCAAGGGGCCAATTAAATAGCAAACAGCTTGGCAAGGCCCTGGGATGTGGCGTGGGCCTGTGCGTCCTGTGCCAGCCTGGCCCCAGCACAGCCCCTTTCTCCAGTGGCTCCTGGCGTAGTCAACAGCTTTGGCCCAGGCCTGGGCCCCGAGAAGGCTGGAGTCCTCTGCTGGGTGTACAGCTGCCCTGCAGGCTCCATGAAGCGTCTATGGGCCCAGCCCAGGCCTAGCTCTAAAAGAAGTCCGAGGCTTTGCGCCGGGCAGGGAGCTGCAGCAGGTTGTCCGTGATGGAGGCCGGGTCCTGCGTGAGAGGGGTGCGTGTGGCAGAGCCAGGCGCTGGTGTGCTTGTGGGGGTCTGTAGCCCACTGGCCGGGGTCTTGAGGTGGGTGGAGCGTGCTGGGGATGGTGTGTAGCTGGCCCGCAGGGCTCGGTCTGTGTACTTGCTGGCCGTCCTGCTCACGAGGCGCTGTAGGGCTGGGGACATGGCTGGGTTCAGGCCTTTGGGAGTGAGGCTGGGGTGAAGGGATGGACGAGAGAGGCAGGGTTAGGTGGACTGAGAGCTGCCAGCAGCAGGGCCTCCCTCGGCTCCCAGGAAGAGCCTGGACAGAGACACAGTCACTCTGAGCTGAGGAGGATGGCACTGCCGGCATGGCGGCAAATGCGGGGGATCCCTGAGGTCAAACAGCAGCACTCAGGTCAAACCTGAGGTCAAACAGCAGCACTGCCCTTGGCTGTGGGGGCTGGGGTGGACCCCCAGGCCTCTGAGAGTTGGAGTCCCCACCCCTCTCCAAGGGGAACGATGGCCGTCTCCACAGGGCTGATGAAAGCTCCCAGCAGGACCACATGCCTAAAGATGCCTCTTAGGGATGGGCCAAAGAGGACGTGGAGGAAAGAGAAGATGGAGGGGGCCTCTCATCCTGTCCACGTGTGGCCGTGCTCTGGATAGAGGAGCTGCCACAGTACCCACTGCAGAACCCCACAGACCTGCCCTGGACTCTGCCGCATGGGCCATGCCTCCACACCGTCAGGGCAGGGGCCAAGCAGGAGCAGGCCAGAGCTACCCTCACACTTCCCCACCAGCCAGGCGGCCCCTCACCTGGCCAGATTCTCCGTCACTCTCCGCAAGGCTTCCTGCTTCTTGGCCCGGTTCTTGGCGGCAGCCTCGTTGGCCATCTTCAGCCCCAGCCGCTCCCTGCGGCCCGGCTCCAGGATCTACAAGGTAGCAGGCGTGTGGGTAGCTGTGCCAGGCCTGCCACATGCCAGGCAGCCCCTCACACAGAAAGCCACTGTGGTGGCTGCCACTCTCTTTGTTGCCTACAAAACCCCCACAACCCACCATCACCTCCCACTAAAAGCCCCTGGAAAGCCCCCAACCCTGCCTGACCTGCCCAGGGCCCAGCACTCCTCACCTGTCTTCCTGTTCCTCCCAAAGCCATGACCTCTGACAATGTCTCAGGAACAAGAGGTCTGTTTTAATGTTTCCCTGATTATCGGAGTGAACATCTCTGTCTTATCGGCACTCTGTATTTGGGCGCTTCCCCACGTGTCTGTGGCCTGTTTTGCTCTCAAGGGGCTCACTTTCCTTTTCTGCTGCTGTCACTCAGAAGACCCTCGCCAAGACCCTGTGTCAAGTCAACTGCGCTACACCGAGCATATGTGTTTTCAGTTATTTGCACTTGTTTCACTTATAACATTTTCTGCTGTATTTGTTATTTTCTTTTCTTTTTTTTTTTTTTTTTGAGACGTGTTCTCGACTCTTGTCGCGCAGGCTGGAGTGCAGTGGCGGATCTCAGCCACTGCAAGCTCCGCCTCCTGGGTTCCACGCCATTCTCCTGCCTCAGCCTCCGGAGTAGCTGGACTACAGGCGCCCCACCACTCGCCTGGCTAGTTTTTGTGTATTTTAGTAGAGACGGGGTTTTCACCGGGTTAGCCAGGATGTTATTTTCATTGTTGATTTCTTCCTTTGCTTTTATGTTTAGAGAGTCCTTCTAACTTAAAGATTAGACTACAGGCTGGGAGTGGTGGCTCATACCTGGACCCCAGCACTTTGGGAGGCCCAAGGCAGGAGGATCACTTGAGCTCAGGTGTTGGAGACCAGTCTGAGCAACACGACGATGACCTCTTTTTTCTACCACACCACACACACCAAAATTACTGGGTGTGGTGGTTGTGTGCTGTTAGTTCCCAGCTTACTCAGGAGACTGAGGCTGGAGGGTCACTTGACCCATTGGAGCTCAATGTTACAATGAGCTATGATTCACACCACTGTTTCTCCAGGCTGGCGGACACAGTGAAAACCCTATCTGGTTTAAAATAAATAAATAAATAAAGGTGAGGGCATGGTGGCTCACACCTGTAATCCCAGCCACTTTGGAAGGCTGAGGTGGGGTGGATCACAAGATTCAAGAGTTCGAGACCAGTCTGGCCAACATGGTGAAACCCTATCTCTACTAAAAATACAAAAATAAGCTGGGCATGGCGACGGCCATGCCTGTTAGTCCCATTAGTTGGAGGCTGAGGGCAGGGAGAATCCACTTGAACCCAGGAGGTGCGGTGCAGTGAGCCGGAGATCGCGGCTACCACACTCCCCCTGGGGCAACAGCGAGACCTGCTGCCATCTCAAAAAAAAAAAAAAAAAAAATTTTCAAACTAAATACTTCGCCATATTTTCTTCTAGTTGTTTTATGGGTTATTGTTTTTACATGTAACCTTTTCACCTTTCCAGAATGTATGCTGCCTACATTATCCTAAAGACCCAGCTTCCTTCATTTCTAAATACTCTGCTATTCAGTGCAATTTGAGTTGCCAATCTTTATCGAGCCCTAAATTCCGACTTTGGATCACGATTTCAAGAATTTCTGTTGGCCTGGAGACTCGGGAAGCAGTGGCGGGCACACCTTGGAAGCACCTCAGCCCTTGCCTTATGCTCTCACATTTGACAGCACAGCATCCTCTTCATTATCCCTCTTGCATGCCTGCCTTAGTTATCCTTGCATCCCAGACAATTCAGAACCAAAGTAACCAAAACCTCTCCCCATGTTTTGTCTGGACATGGGTTACCTCTACTAAGTACTCTGGGGAAAGCCGTGCAGTGGTACGGGGAGGCCTATTGCATCTGACCCAGCCCACGAAGAGCCTCCCCTGGTTTGTGCCGGCTCTCACACACTCCACCCCGACCA